ACTTTCAAATTTTCGATCTTGCGTCTGGTCAGCTTCATGGCTTCATCATCATATAGTCATGGAGGAAAAGTGGGAATGTTTTCTGCTCTGACAAGTGCGCCAAAACTGCAATATAATTTCAGAATCATGACATCACCACCTGATCCATATGCAACGGGCAGGGTGCAGCTAATGGCTAGCCGTCAGTGGTCATGTCATCGGTGGTCACTCAAAAGGTCATGCTAGGTCATGGAAGGTCACCAGCCGTTATTTGATCACACTTTCTGATGGATTTTACTTACCAAGAGCTTCAAGGGAAAAACGAGCGCATGCCGCATGCACCGTTGAAAAAATTGAGTGAAAGGGTCTCAGGTCCGGCGACCTCTGCAGGTGAAGTGCCCCAGGGTAGGATTCCGGTCCTTGTTGATTAACTTCGTCAAAAATTGCGGTACATAGAGCTGTGATGTCGGCACCATTGTGTTCGTCATGATCGAGCTGTCACGACCTGCATCGTTCTCATATTCACCCTCCAATCGTAACAACTACAGCAGGGATTGGCAAATGGCGTGGCACCCCTTTGGGAGGTAATGAAGGTCTCTTGAAACCTCATCCCTCATCTCTTTAGCATCAGTGGCTCTCCTTATGGAACAGGTTTCTTGACTGGTCTGTTTCACCCCAGAATTCAAAGACTAGTCAAGGTAAAACCGAGCGCACCACAGTGAGCACAATTTGATAAGCTGGTGTATCTCAATTTCATGTAGAACCTTTCACGTATCACGTACCTAAAACCCTTTCGTGCACTCATGCAAAAGCAACTGCCATGTTTCAACAGCTGGTAATGGCATTTTCACAGCCGCTGACGTAAGAAGGGGAGGGAAGGGGGCTTGATTAGACCCCCAGCCGTTCGGCCGCCGACCGAACTTAGTTTTGCAGAAAAAAAACGAGTGCTATCGAACCCCTTGACGAGAGGGTGCCGATGCTACCCAATTATAAGATCTTGGGCTACGGCGTGCTTTTTTGGTCCTGCCTGTGATCTATCCGAACACTTCTGCCCACAAGTGCTGGGTTAAATGGCATATATTTCAAATGGTTCCTGTGGTAGAGCTGCCATGCTTGAATTTGACTAATTAGGAATGGAAAATATCCATATAGTAACGGAAATCTATGGAATTTCAGTAAACTTGGTTTTGTCGGCAATGTGGTCTGGCAGTGGGGTGGGGAGGTAATAAACCCTGTCTGGCGCCCCAAAAAGGGGGGGGGGCACGATCCCCGAGGCCCTGCCGATCACCTTATGACTACAGGCATCACAGCTCCACACCTTTTGCAGATGGCCAGGACCCCCTGCGATACATCCCAACAGCAATCTTTATTCAGAACCTGTCTTGATTAACCAACGATGCATTAAATGCGACGGATAACTCTACAATGCATTATTATCAACTATTGAACGGACCTCGCCGATAGGGGGGTACTGTACCCCCCTAACTTTCGATAGCGGGGGACCTGTCCCCCCCGTCCCCCCCGGTGGCGCCGCCCATGCCCGCTCCATGTCGCTGGGCGGTGGCATGGCGGTGGAAACCGGTTCTAGCCTCTACACATGCCACCATTCTAACCCTCCCCTCCCCACGCTACTACGCGGCGTGGAGTACGCTCGTGCGTAACTGGGCGGAGCAAGGGGTCACGCGATACAGGGGCGGAACTGGTTGCCCTCCCGCTCGCCGAGCGACCAACGACTAATACCCTGGAGAACCGTACATATATGATAGAATGAATGTCACCATCGTGTTCTACGCCCCAAATTACCCATAAAACATGTGTCACAGGCTGCGAATATCAGTTTTGATTTTCGGAGATATGTGCCTACCCGGTTGACCTGACCTTGACCCTGACCTATGCTTGACTGACCTCTACATGGAGCTGACACTCTTGTAGGCCTTATATGATGGATTGTGCACCGTTTTGACAGAGTTTATGACGAGAGGAGCCCATTGCGAAGTCCTGAAGTCCATGCTACTGAAAGCCCGATTTCAGGTGTTTGACCTGACCTTGACCTGACCTCTGACCTCAAAATTCAACTTTAAAGTACTCATCTGAAGCGTCTCGTCGCGTTCTTTCGTTTGCCGCCTCGTGCGTTTCGCTGCGCCTATTGGTTCTCGAGTTATCGGCTGGGGGCGTTTAACGCCCCCCCCCCCCCAGCAAACGGTGGGTGGCGAAATACCCCAGCAACTGCCGGGTTAAGAGTGTATTACTAACCAGGCGGATCTGGCGTAGACAGACACTGAGACCGGACGGGGACGTGTTATTATCACCGAAGTTGGCCGAGATTCAGATCACTGTCACTACCCGACGTCCGATTGTCTCTCGAACGGCACTCTCACAATCAGAAACTTCGCAGAACATCTGGAGATGACTTTCAGTTCTCAGCAAACAGAGAGATTCAGATTTCACCGTCTATATGCAGTGCCCCGCCGCGCCGCCGCGCCGTTAGGACGACTGGATGGTAGGCTGTGCCGCAACACTCGCCTGTTGTACGGCACAGTCTACCAGTCAGGCAGTGTTCGCCTCGGCCGACCGCGTCGGTGATGAGACGAGCGAAGGCCGAAGGACACAGTTTTATACCATAATCGCATACATTCCACTGTTTTGACGGATTTAAATAACGGCGAAAATTCGTTTGAATATTAAATATAACTGTGTAAGCCGCACTGGCGCACGTAATGAAAATAGCAATGATACAAACAACTAATGGAATATACTGGCCCCTCGGATTGGCAAGTTGGTTTTGTTTGTGTGTGTTGAGTCAATTCGAGCACATGTGCTCCAGGCGTCGATCGATGGTGTATTATGAGCCACCCACACGCTAATTGTTTGCTCGACCGGTCGCCCCAGGTCAAGGATTTGGCCGGAAATGAAGAACACCAACGGCGGTTATACCATTTGAGGTGGGCCTGGACGTCTGAAATACCCTCTAACTTGGGAAGATATTGTTTAGCCAGAAAATATATCTCCTGACGTGCGAAGATACCGTCTAGCCTGTGGGCACATACCGTCGACGTTGAGACAGCTGCGGGGATGCCGTTTGAACTACGGACGGCCGCCCAGCCGCATCATCCGCCGCCAATAAGGCGGCGGTGCCGACTTCCCCCTCGGCCCTCTGACTGCTGCGGTGACGGCCAATGTCGGTGGGGTGAGCCGGGTCGGCCGGCGGCCACAGCCCCTTTATCCGCGCCGGCCGAGCGCAGCCAAAGTTGTGTGCGCCGGAGATTGCGGCCCGCCGGAGCTGTTGGTGCGGTTAGGCGGCCCGCTCGGCCGGCACAGTGGCCTTTATGGGATGGTCGAGTGGCGTCGGACGGCCGTGCAGTCGTCGACTATGAGAGGAGGGCTCGGATGAGTCCGCTCGGGACGACACTACCGGCTGCGGCCCGCCGACCGACGACCCGCCCCCGCCCCCGCCCGCCGCCCGCCGCCCGCCGCCGCCGCCGCCCGAACTACCAGCATGTTTGCCTCGGCAGGCGGTAATTGGTTTATGGTACAGCCCGCGCCAGTCGATATGACTCCATTTGGTTGAAATACGGCGCCGCGAGGCTCAAAGTCAGTCGAGTTTAGGTGCTCGCTTGACTCAGTGTAGCTGAACGACGAACGCAGGATAAGTGTGAGTAATTAGATTATTGGAACTGTCTAATGTCGTCGCTATCGTATCTATATTCGTCGCTATTTTTTACAAGGACCACTTTGCCGCCACACGACAGCAATAATAGCCCTGTTCCTATGACATGTCGGATCATTTGTAGTACCTATAATATTCTGAACATGTCCTATATGGCGAGCTTATACCTAATGGCACCCAATTTAGGGTCATTGGTACGACCTTCGATTTTATAGCCCAGCTGTCGGCTAGTGAATATTGCAAGCTACTGGCGCAGTGTTAGGGAGCAATACCGATACACAGCGGGCCGCATACGTGCACAATGCAGCTCCATGCCGTCGTGATGATAAGGATTATGATGCACTGGATAGTGTTGAATTTACGTGCGCTATTGAGGCTGCCATGCTTTCTTTTATATTTGGTCGATGTCAGCAGTATCATACACCCCGGTTCTATGTTTCATTATTATTTTCTTTGCAGTGCGCTCACTTGGCCATCTGAATGACGCACACGCAAACGAACCCTCTAGAGCAATTGGTGGATTCCCTACTCACACAGTCAGGTGCTATTGTTTCATTTTGTGGGTATCCGTGGGCACTTCCCAGTCCCTCCCATAGCCGTGGGAGAGCACGGTCCCATATAGCCCATATAACTCATAGACCCCACGCTCCTGCCCATATGGCGTCATTCCACCACTAGTTCCCTCTCTCTCCGTGGCCAGTCTTACCTCCATTCGCCGACAATTCGCCTGAGAGCCGGGGTATTGTACGGACCATCGTGGACCGTGCATTGGCCACCATTCCCCGCAGGTCCGCCTAGGGAACTGAGCAGGAGCTCTCTGGCACCCGGAATACGATAAAACGGCGACAACGTCCCCGACTCTGGCCGAGCGCGTACAGGCAATTTTCCGGTGCCATAGCATAGGAAAGACCTTTTTGTTGAGCGTAGCGAGTCAATGTGGGTACTGTACTTGCACACTTTGCCGGCGAAGATCGGTAACACCGTATCGCCAAGGTTCGTTTGTTGCTTTTCTCTCTCTCTCTCTCTCTCTCTCTCTCTCTCTCTCTCTCTCTCTCTCTCTCTCTCTCTCTCTCTCTCTCTCTCTCTCTCTCTCTCTCTCTCTCTCTCTCTCTCTCTCTCTCTCTCTCTCCCCCCCCGCAGTGTCTATTGTAATAGAGCAATGATATCATGTACTTATGTACCCCTTCCCCTCTACCGGACACCTGTTCTGTAATAAAGTGATCTTTCCTCCCATCCCTGCGCCGTCAGCCACCCCACTCCACTCTAATAAAGCGATACCCTTCCAGCCAACGGACGTGCTGCGGTCTTTAATATAGTCCCCTAACTGTCTACCCCCCACCTCCCCCGCCGGCAGATGCCCCGCGTTGCGACACCGGCCAGAAGCAGATTTACGGGGCGGCCAAGTTCGAGGAAGTTCTGGTGCACTGTCGCGTGGAGGCCAGTCCGGGCGACGTCACCTTCCGCTGGTCCTTCAACAACACCGGAGAGGTCACCCACCTGCCCACCGAGCAGTTCACGTGAGTGGGCCGTGCACGCAACGTGCCGGGCAGGGGAAGGGTGGGTGGGGTGGTTGCGTGATGGGGTTGCACATTGTGCCTCCATACACGCGCCCTAACGAGTGAGGGTGGCACGTCACTCAAGTGGCAGCGATCAACCACGCTGCATGTGGGCCGTGGGGACATTGAAAAAATATGAGTAACCCCTTTCCTTTATAGGTTATTCAAGAAGGACAACGTGTAAGGGATGACATTTCAACCCTAGGCTCCCCGACTGTATTCGCGTGTTCCATCTGTGACCCGTGTTTTCATGTTTCCATGACAGCGTTGTTATTGCCCCCTGCCATTCGGCTACTTTACCTGATGCTTCCCGTTCCGGAATAGAGAAAACATAAATAAGTGTGTTTTCCTTGATCCTAAAAGACCAATGTTACGCCCGTTTCTCTAACGGCAGCGTTACCCCGTTTCCCCAGCAGCAGCGTTACCCCGTTCCCCCTGCAGCGTTTCCCATGTTCTCCTTGCCAGTGGCGTTACCCAATTCCCTTCGGCCGCAGCGTTACCCCTGCTCTCCTCCCAGCAGCGTTAGCCCTGTTTCCCCTCGGCCACAGCGTTACCTCGTTTCCCCGTTACCGGCAGTGTGAACGGTACTGAGAGTGTGGCGCGATACTCGGCCCGCTCGGAGCTCGACTACGGAACACTGCTCTGCTGGGCCAGAAACGCCATCGGCTGGCAGAAGACGCCGTGCGTTTTCCACATAGTGTCGGCAGGTGAGGCGCGCCATGGAATTTACCTCAGCTCAGAAGGCGGACAGGGTGACAGACGGCTGACTGCCTCTGTCAGGGGCCGGGGGTAGGGGAGGGTGTCTGTTGTGCAGGCTGTGCCGCTGGTTTTAAGCGGAACCACTGTGGTGCTCGCCGCTCGACCATATGCCAGGCTCGTTGCGAAATAGCGGATGTCGTCGACATGACTGTTTTCATTACTGTTTCATGCTATTAGCGAGATTTGGTTATTAAATCAGTCTTTTCTGAGAAGCCTGGGAGCGCGGCAGCTGAGCCAGCGGCGGAGGAGAGCGGCGGGGAGCGGCGGCCGCCGACGGCCGAGCCGCTCCCTGACAAACGAGCCCACGGCGCCTGATTTACGCACCAGCTGCAGAATGGGCCTCCCAGTCATATTTCGCCGCCGGGAATTGGCAATATGATGGCCCAAACCATGATTTAACTGTCATGTGCGGGGATGTTAGTAGCCGGCGGTTACAATGAGCTCACTTTGATTGCAGGAACGCTGCTCAAACACGCTCCAATTAGGAAAGTTGGCTACAAAACCACCGCCATTTAACTAATATGGTTGACGATAAGTGTACGGTTAGGATTCAGGTCCGAATCGATTTTTAGGGAAGGGGCAGTGAACTGGTGTGGAAGGTGATGTGCACGACTAAAAAAAAAAAAAATGGCAGGGAAACATACTTTAACATACATTAGTGAAAGAAACCCACAACTGGCATTCATGGTATAACAACTCTGCGCTGTCACGCTTGTAAACAGGTTTCTACCATTTGGAACTGTCGCTCTGACGACGGTTGTCTACATGCTGTTCTGCAACTAACATGTGCGACTTACTGTGTGATATGTGCAAGTGCATCACACTGCAGTGCTCAAGTGATCAATAATTCGACGACCGTTTCCGACGGTTGGCTGGAGGTGGATACCGTCCCATCGCCCAGCCGCGCTAATGTCCGTTAGTTAGCGCCCGAAAAGAAAAACAGGATGGGGTCGATGCGAGGTCAAGGAGAGGTCGAAGGCTGCTAATCTTTAGCGCGGCCCGTTATCGTCCCCCAGGCGGCAGTCGAGGCACAAGAATCGGGCCGCTCAGTGACTGATTAAACGCATCCATCATTCAAGAGCGCGCCGAGACGCATACCAATTAGGTGGGCTGCAGGTATTGGATGGGCCGGTGCCGTCCTCTCGGCCGCCGCAGATCCATACACGGCGCGTCAGCTCGTTAGATGTGACTGCTAGTGACGTCACTGGAGGAACTGAAACATCCGCGGAGAACAGAGCTCTGCAAAACAAAGGCGGCTGGATGATGAGGCTGTGGTGTTAGACGCGATAGCTCTTCAAGCGATAAAATATCAGCATCAACCTTATAACGAATGACACCGTTTCAGACTCGATTGTAAGTCCCGTTTCTATTCTTCGGTTTAATCCCAAGCTGCTGATTCGATTCTGATTAAATGCTCGTTTGCGACTGCCCTTTATTCAAAACATATTTCAGGAGAAAATGTCTAGCGAATCAAGCAAAATAAAGAATAATCGCTAGTGAGTTGAGTTCAACTACAAAGCTGATTCCTTAATCCCGAGCAAAATGAAAAGGCAGTCTCAAGGCAACAGGAGGCAACAGGAGTCGGAGTCACCGAAAATTCATTGACTCCGCAGACCGGCCAGGGCTGTGGAGCCGGAGTCGGTCGAAGTCGACAGTTCTGCCCGGAGTCGGAGTCTGTGTCGATCTTTGGAGTTCGGAGTTGGAGTCGGAGTCACCAAAATCCATCGACTCTGCAGTCTGCAGCCCTGTTTCGGCATAAATGTTTGTCAACAAACATGCTGCTCTCTAATAGAAATGGTAATTCATAAAATTTACATCTCATTGATTCTGCTTTATAGAAACATAACCGATGCCGAGATAGGTTCAATTTTCAACCAAAAGCGCAAAATCGCTTCCATAAACCATTGAGCGTTGCAGGAGTGGCCTTGGGTGCACTCTGACCCGACACAACTTCACCTGTAGGTAACAACTGGTGACCGGAGCCGACTGTTGATGACTTGACCCGACAGTTGTCGACCTGACCCGACTATCGGTGACCTGACCTGGTGTCCGCCAGGCGTCCCGGAGCCGCCGACCAACTGCAGCTCTCACAACAGCAGCTCGGGCTCGCTGACGGTCCAGTGTCTGGCCGGGAACGACGGCGGCCTGCCGCAGCTGTTTGTGCTGCAAGTGCGCGGTCCCGGCGGCCAGCTGCACTACAACACCACCGCGCAGCAGATGCCGCGCTTCTCCGTGCGCGGCCTGCAGCCCAACACCTTCTACCAGGTGAGACCCCGCTCCTGCAGCCCAATAGATTCTACCAAGTGAGACCCCAATCCTACAGCCAACACAAACTACCAGGTGAGACCTCGCTCCTGCAGCCCAATACCTACCTTCTAACTATCAGTTGAGACCCCAGTGCTACAGCCCAACACATTTTACCAGGTGAGACCCTAGTCCTGGAGCCCAGAACCTTCTACAATCTTCACACTGCACAACAACGGCCCAAGGTGGGACCGCGGTCGGCGTCACCATTATTTGTGAGTCAGCCAGAGGTAGCTGGTCCCTGGCCGCTCGAGTCGGTGGCCATACAGAACTAGGACCTGGTGTAGGCCAGACACTGGACATATAGACCAGACACCATGGTTACTAGGCCACCAGGACCTACTGTCTATAATGCTGTGTATGTAATAAGGCTGTCGAGCGTATGAGTGTTCCCAGCTGGTTAGAGGGATAAGTTTATGGTTGACATGTATAAAGGCCCGGAATTATTTATTGCTGCGCTGGGTCTGGGTCACTGGTTCGCCTCAAACTGTAGTTCCAGTGTCAAGAAGGTCGCAGCTCGGTTGGCAACTCGGGTTGGCCGGTGTGAGCTGAGCTGGGGGTCGTAGGGCGTGGTCCGAGCACGGCCAAAAATCCACGGAGCTGTGGATTGGATTTCTGGGGACGGCTGTGGATTCTTGGGAATTGACGAGGGCATATTCTGGCACCTGTGGACGATGGAGGACAGATGTGCTCTCAACCTGCTGTGCACAGCGACGACTTTTAGCTGAACAGTGAAAATATATCGCTGCACGGACCTCAGAGTTACAGCCAGTGGTTGGTCATGACGCCGTACAGAACAACTTGTAGTCCGTGCAGTGGCTAACTACGCCTTCCTGTTCAGAGAGGCAGCCTGCAGGAGTGACCATCCATGACCCATTTTAGGTAGAGTAACAGGCATCAGCCACATCTTCCTGCGTGTAGAGACAGAGAGAAGACAGGCAGTGACCGCTCAGCGTCCATGCCCCTCTACATATACATAGGTGCAGAGTAACAGGCAGTGGCCATGACCGACCCTCGCGGTGACGTCAATGAGCTGTGACCGATGGCATGAGCGAGCGGACGCCACGATAGTCTATTTCGGGAGCGGAACAATCAATTGTGGGCCATCGGATCGTGTGAGGGACGTGCCGCCAGGGACGGGCCTGGGACTAGCTGGCATGGGTCGTTATGGGCCGGGACTCAACGATAGGTGTTGGGATTATGGGCAGGACTCGCTGGTATAAGCCGGGACTTGATGGTATTGATAGGTTCGGACTCGCCGATGTGTGTTTCGACTCGCTGGTATGTGTTGGGTGTCTGGGGCTAGCTTCTGTGAATCTGAGACTCTGAGACTCACTGGCGAATGGTTTCAGACTCGCCTGTTTGGGTTAGGATTCACTGATATGGGTCGGACTCGCTGCAGGAATGGATCAGGACTCGCCTGTATGGATGGGGATTCGCTGTTACGGGCCGGTACTCGGGTGTTGGGGCCGTGCTGACCTCGGGACCCGGCCCGCCGGGCTGCTGTACCCGCTCCTTTCCACGGGTCCGGGTAGCCGACCGCCGCCGTCTGCGCCACAGGCCGCTAGGTCCGCTGGGAAAGCCAGAGTCTGATGTTACATTTACTAACCAGACACTCCCCAAAGGTCAGAAGCCTTTATGCTGCATTAGCATACTGGTCTTGACATTTACGAACGTTTTAGCGCAACGGACAACCATCTTGTCCATTTACCTGTCTAAAATGGCGAAGTCATAAATCTGCTTCACTGTTTAGGATCAACGTATTGCTCTCCTTTTTGCTCTGGTTAGTATGACGAAGATGGGGTGGATTAGGATATGACGACGTTAAGGAGCTGTATTTATCAGGTCAACGCCGTTAACATGTGATTTGGTCCGTTTACAGATATTGATATACGCGAGGAACGCCAAGGGCCGGAGTAAGCCCCTGGTGATGGAGACCGAGACTCTGCGGGACGCCGCAGAGAGGAGGACCGAAAAGATCATCGACGGATCGCTCAAAGGTGAGGGCGAAAAGATCATCGCTAGATCACTCAAAGGTGAGAACAAAATCATCAACGGATCGCTCAAAGGTAGAAAAAGTAATCAACGGATCGCTCAATGGCGAGAGCTCAGTCCGTTCTGCCGCACTCGGGAGTTCGTCGCCCAAAAGTGGGGGCTCACTCCGTTTGTGGCACATTTTATGGGAAGGTGTCCTGACCTGCAGGTCTTCATATTGCCAGCTTGAGATGAATGCGATCAAAAGTGATTTTTGAGCCAAAATCTAAGCATACGAGTACATGCGTTTTAGTGAGTATGTGAAAATGCGAATTCGTGGAGCCACTATGCAGTGGTTTCATGTGGAATTTCAATTGACGAGCGAGCTCATAAAGTGTGGCAAATTCACGGAATCGCCGTCAGATGCTGGGGATTCGGTAGGGGTTCTTTGAGCCTCCAGATCCTTTGATGCATGATGAGTCACAACAGTTCCCGGAAATTCATAAGATGCGTTTTAAGATCTCCTGGAGTGGTAAGCTTCAACTCATGCTGAGTTAATACTTAATGACTAATGTACGTAATGCAAAAGGCATATCGGTCTCATTCTAGCTGGCGGAAAAAAACAGTCAGGTAAAAACAGTCAGGTTTTAGCAATATTAGCCAGATATTCCAGTCAAACAACCCTTGCTATTCCACATTTGCGATATTTTGGCATATCGTCTCTTATCAGAATAATCGATGTCATCTTCCATGTCTTTGCTAGATATCACACACATTAACAACACATGCGGGTCATTGCCAAAGACGTAATGGAGCCATATGTTGTGTTTGGCCTCATTTTTTATATTCGGCAGTGGTGGGTAGGATAGCCGGCATTTATACGACTTCGCCAGTGTGGTGTGGCTTCTGGGCGGACCTGGAGGGAGGGGGGGGGGCGTGGTGACCCAGTGCTGAGTCTGAGCTCTCCGGGGCGGACTGCAGTCTGCGAGGGGACGGACTCCGCTGTCTGGTCAGATTGCAATAAGGGGACGGACGGACAATGATAAAGCTTTGCAGCTTTGTGACTTTGTACACTAATAACGAATCATAGGATAATTCATAATTGGGTCATCTGCCAAGCGTAAGGGTCAGGGTAGGCTATTTAAATTATATTTCCTCGTTTCATATGATTGGGTAATTAGCACCTCTGAAGTCTGAATCAATAAGTGCCTTCCTTCGAAATAATCCGTCGATCGAAGACCGAATCTTTGTGACTTAGATGTACCTAATCAAGTTGGGCTTTCTCCAGGAATTTATGTTGTTGATAAATGAACAAGTTAGCAGGAATCAATGCTATCGTGTAGGAACAGCATTATGCAGGCAATTGTTATTAACGATTGCTGACGATATCCCGCGGAAGGGAAGTAAAAAGTCTTTATAGTTTGACTGTTCGACGTTCGTGATAGGTATGTACCAGAGACCAGCCCTGCTCGGTCCATTTCAACACAGGCTCCTTCCTTCGAGCTAAGATTCCGGGTCACCTCCCCTGGGGCGGTCCGACCCCCGCGCCGGAGCTAATGCGACCCAAGTGAGCTGGGTCAGAACAGCCCAACCGCGACCGACCTCGCGTCCAGCCGAGTCCAATTAGCAGAATCTCCAGTCGGCAGCCGTATGCAGTTAGCGGCGGCCATTAAATATTCACCTTATCTCTCCAGATGGCCTGTTCCAGCCCGTTCGGAAGATTTCGCTGTCTCCAGGTAGATATTCAAACCTGCTAGAGAAGCCTCGTGGAGCGAAACAGGGTTGGGATTTCACTCATGTGAAGATGTCGTACCATGGGCAAATGAAGCTGCAGAATAGACAGAACACTGGTGTTCTAACGCCAAATTACACCAAACCTTGACCCCTGAACTAAATAAATATAATTTTCAAGTGAAAACATTTCCCGATCTTTTTTTGCAGAGAAATCTAGAGCCCCACTTGTGCCGTGATCGGTGTGATTTACTCCAAAATGTAATGTCGCTATTTGCAGAGTCGTTTGACGGCATGCTGACGGTGACGCCGGTGCTGATGGTGCTGATCGTGGCTGTCGGAGGCCTGCTGATAATCATCATCATCGTGGTGGTCCTTCTGCGCATGCGCGGACGGCCGACGTCGCGTCGTCGCGGCACGCCACCGCTCACAGGACTGCAGATGAAGGAGATTGGTCACCAGGCGGAGGGGGACAGCAAGAACCCCGACCTCATACAGACACACGGTGAGAGCTCACACAGATACACGGTGAGACCATAGAGACACACGGTGAGAGCTCATATACAGAGGGAGGGGGACAGTAAGAACTCCGACCTCATACAGACACACAGTAAGAAGTAAGAACTCATACAGACGCACGGTGAGACGGATATCTCATATACAGACACACTGAGAGAACTCATACAGACCTCTCACCTCATACAGTCACACTAAGAGAACTCATACAGACCTCATACAGACACACTGAGAGAACTCATACAGACCTCATACAGTCACACGGTGAGACCTCGTGTAGACGTTATACAGACACACAGTAAGAACTCGTGTAGATACACGGTTTGACGGATACCTCATAAGCAGACACAATGTGAGAGCTTACATACAGACACATGTTGAGATCTCATGACGGCAGGCACCCCGTCCTTTTGTATGTGCAACACTCCCACCGGGACGGCGTGGTAGCTGGTTTTTACATCTTGCTCGTAAATTGACAATATCTCGCTAGTTGCACGTCGTTCGTAATCGACACTGTCGTAATTCGTTGCGTGCACATAATGCATTCAAATGTAGTTAACATGAGCTAGGTTGCTCATGTTATCAATAATACATGTTATTAGGCCTACAGGTAAAACGATGTCATTTTGTTGCATGATATCGGTATGTGTGTGCACTGCGTCGTGTTCGTGAAACTGCAGAAATTCGCGTGTATACCGCTAATATGACAATCCGTGTCCTTATAAAGAAGACCGGTATATTTATCCTGTCGTCATTTTGTCGAAATTATTAATCAGGCGGATTTGGGCTGGCTCTCCCAAAATAACAACCAATTAGTTGGCGGCAGGGTTGGACCAATTAAATAACTTTTCCATTCTGTCTGAAAGGGCCTGCCATTACTGGTAGCGATTGTAATCTGCTCCTAATGGGCCCTTCGCTGCGTGGGCGGCTGAAAACACGAACATAAATGATATTAGCCGGCAAATTAGCTGCATTCTTGGCGACGTCCTGCTACTGAAGGGTGTGTGTCAATGTTCAGTGCGTTCGTCAAATCCGCGTGAATCTGCACGGCACCACGCGTACACGTGAATCAGCGAGATGATTCAAATGTAAAACGATCGTGAATGCAGGCGCCAGTTTCATACTTTGGGTGTGGTGCCTCATATGAGGTAACCGCAAATCGGACAGCCAGGGCAGCCAGTTGGTTGAAACGTTCCGAACGTTGCGCTCACATCCCTCGTGGTGATGACACGCGGCACGTGGCTTTCGGGATGCACACTTATCCTTCATCCGCCGATAGCCGCCAATGATTCTTGCCTAGGTCGCTAGCCTGAACCGACCTGGTATAGGCGTTGCAGGTCATCATTCTCTGTTCTATGTTCATGTCATCATCATCAACCGTGGCTCTATGCTTGCGTTGGTCATCAGGGAGTCATTACGTCCAAAAATACATGCATATTTAAGCTAATGCGTCATTCAGAATTGTGTGTCGATTTCGTTTGTCCTGTCCCGGACGGAATTAGACCACTGATGCCGTTTTTCGGCAGGCGAGCACGGCTTCCCGATGATCGAGGCCACGTGCAGTGCGGAGGGCGGCCCGGAGAGGTGCGGTTCCGGGCGCGCGCCGTCGCACCGCGGCCGCTCCGGCTCCGGGCCGGACCCAGGGCGGCCCGGAGACATCAGCTACATCCCGGCGGCGGCCTACGTGGGCAGCGTGAGCAGCTCCACACTGCCGCGCTCCTCACACTGTCCGCAGCATCCGTACGGCGTAAGTACACCTCTTACAGCATCCGTACGGCGTAAGTACAGCACCCATACTATTGGTGCCGATCGGAATTTCTTTTCTTGGAATTCCAATTTTTGTCCAATTCCAATTTGGAATTTGGACGGAATTCTTAACATTTTTTGGAAATTAATCGGAACACAAGGCCTTTAAAATTTAAAATTTTAAAACGGAGGCCTTTAAAACGCTTTTAAACACTTTTAAAATTTACGCAAAAAATGCAAAAATCGTTAAAAATTGGGATAGCCCCCGCTTTGGACAAAATTGGAAATTTACTTGGCAATTTCTTGGAATTGGATCGGAATTGGAATTGAAATTTCATGAAATTGGCACCACTAACCCGTACAGTGTGAGTAACAGCAACTCTCCTCTGATCCATCTGAGCTGTCCTCAGGACGCATAATTGGTTCTCCCCCGGACCTCAAACCGCTGATCCAGGCTGATGGTCACCATCATACGACATGAGTAGTTCCTCATGAGCACTGAGCAGGCACCTTTCGTTTGCAGAACTGAAATGATCTCATTATACCGAAAGTGTGTAACCCATGCCCTCCTCCCATAAAAGGCAGCGGCCCTCCAGCATAAATATAATCACCTTTCGCAGTATTTACAAGCCTTGCACCCAACAGCCACTCTCCTCAGCACCACTTGCTTAGATAGAAGTTTATCGGCACCAAAAACATGCCATGACTGTTCACGAGCAATTAATTATCTATCATGAGACTAGTGTCTAGTTGCAACCATCTACCAATGATTGAGATGGGCTGTTGCAGTATGATGCTGGAAAATCAAAAGATTTACATTTTTGCCTGTTGCCCTTGGGGAACACCAAACGCATCATGATAGTTTCAGCAGCATTGGGGCACAGCAGCACTGGCATTTAGCAGGTGGCACATTGGTAGCACAGGCGCTATTTGGTGTGCATCGGTAATGCTGATTGCTGAATAATGAGCGGATATTGTGCCCGATAACTGGCCGCGAGGGCCGGGGCTGTTGATCACGCACGGCGGTTTAATGTTGGTTCGGCTAGCCCTCCGGTGGATGTTGGGTAGCAGTCCCTCGGATCTCGGATAGTAATGTCTCTGATGTTAGTCATAATTCGGCTGGTACTGTCTGTGGAGTCAGTCGTAATTTGTCTGCGGTTTGGGTCTGTGATCTCCGTCAGAGCTCGACTGGAGGGTTAGGGTCTGTCTGTGATGTGCCTGAAAGCTCAGCTACTGTTGGATTAGGGACTACGACGTACCTCATAGCTTCATGGTGACACTGACGTCGCATTCTGCCGCTGGCGGTGGCGACTGACATCCTTTGGAACTCGACTACCGAAACAGGCAGCAGCAACCCAGACAGCAGTCACACAGACAGCACCAGCTCGCCTGTCGGCCCCGACAGACGCCCAGCAACTCCACCGGACTCTGATTTATAAGGCGGATCTCGGGCAATTTCAGCCGTCCCATATTGCGCCGTGGTGTTGCACTGCGACCACTTGCTTAAATCTCCCGAAAGGCAAGTGGTGCGAGAATGATGAAGCCTTTGGCACTTGCGATACGGAAGGTTGTTTGGTGACGCACTTTTGCTACGGCCGGGCACGGATGCGCTGTCAGTCCTAGCGTGCATCAATCAATAATATGGGTGAATGCGCCTGCGCTCTCTCTCTCTCTCTCTCTCTCTCTCTCTCTCTCTCTCTCTCTCTCTCTCTCTCTCTCTCTCTCTCTCTCTCTCCCTCTGTCTCTGTCTCTGTCTCTGTCTCTGTCTCTCTCTGTCTGTCTGTCTCTCTCTCTCTCTCTCTCTCTCTCTCTCTCTCTCTCTCTCTCTCTCTCTCTCTCTCTCTCTCTCTCTCTCTCTCTCTCTCTCTCTCTCTCTCTCTCTCTCTCTCTCCCTCTCCCTTTCTCTCTCTCTCTCTCTCTCTTCCTCTCTCTTTCTCTCTCTCTCTCTCTCTCTCTCTCTCTCTCTCTCTCTCTCTCTCTCTCTCTCTCTCTCTCTTCATCCGTTGACATCGTCAGTCGTCAGCCCGTCTTTCCAGACATGCGGTGACCTTTGCAAGGTCTCCCATTGACCCCCCCCCCCCCCCCGAGGACCGGGTATCGATCCGCCCCCCCCCCCTCCCAGTGCCTGTGGGCGTGTTTGTCACAGACGTAACGTGATGCTACAGTAACGAGCCGGCCGCCTCCTCGCTTCCGCTCTGGCGCCGCCCCCGACCGGGTCCCGCCGGGAGAGGCTCGGTGCGACCACAGACCCCTGGCGAGGCACAGCATGACAACAACTCGCGCAGCTATACATACCTACTCTGGCAGGGCTCTGCGTGACTTCAACCAGCGCGACTCCGGGCATCGCGTCTTACTCAGTCTGACTCCATCCCTTCCGCCTAGGACCCGGAGAACGATTCGACTCGTTCCTTTTCCGTAACGAAGCGCGGATCGCTCGCCCATCCTCTTCTCGGATCGCGTCTATCCTTCCAGAAGCTCATCTGTCCTTCCAGGAGCGCAATGTCCTTCCCCAGCTGCGCAGCGGCGCTCGGAGACGGGCGTAAAGGCGCTGTTAGCTGGACGTGTTCGCGACAGGATTTCGGAGCTTCCTTTGTCCCTGCGCCGCTGTTTTTCTCTGTTGAGCTGCTCTCCGAGTGAGGCTAATCACCTTCCCAGTTTCTGTGACGAGGTAAAATGCGCTTTAGTGGTGGGCGAAATGAGATATGCTTTATCATTTCATTCAAACTATGCGCAGTCACGTATCAGTGCCAGATTTACGCTCTAATAGGAATATTCAAAAGCAGAAACCTAGTCATGTTTGAGGAAGAGAAGATTATGGGAATTCGTGACAAATGCTTTGAAAATCTCCCCGTAACTTGTATGAAAGACATACTGGCGATGGAGATTTAGAATGCATGCATTTCCATATTAATTTCGTTACAATGTGTTATGTGTCAAACGACAGCAATATGTTCATTGTTTGTGTTGTCATTTAATTTTAATGGCGCTGTCTTCTAGTTGGTTGCACGTAATGTCTCGCATTATGTACGGCTCTCGCGAGATTAAGCGGTAGGTTTTGCACTTTTACATTTCCGGTTATATCTCAGAAACTAATCGATCTACGATGAAGCCATTTTGCACGATCATGGCCGGCTTGTGGACCAACAAGTCGATCGCATCTTCAACACGTAAAAGCTTAAGGCAACGAAGATATAGCCTGAAGTACACTAAATTTTATAGGTGCAAAACCTACCGCTAAAACCCGCGAGATCTGTAGGGGAGAGTGGGGCAAAGCGGCCACCCGGGGCAAAGCGGCCACCCATCGTTTTAGCCCTTCATAGCTGGCGTCAGTTCCAATTTATGGTTTCCAATTATACTTCTTTTCACGGTCGTTCGAATGAGCCAGACCGGGGTTTCAGGCCCATCACCATTGTTCTGTGAAACACGGAAAAGCATTTCTTGCCAGGTTACCAACTATGTTTACAATTTTTAAATGTTATGTTATTCCATAACCGTTTGGAATTTTTATAAGCGTTCTTGTGCATGCATTGCATGGTTATCGTACATGTATTCTACCAATTTTAATGTTTTTTACCCCACTAATAGCTAAGCTGGAATATTTTTGTCTCTGACGGTATGCGCGGGGCAAAGTGGCCGGGGCAAAGTGGCCACCCCCCAATTGGCTATAAGTTGCTTCCATCTGGATAAAAAACATTATTTATATTCAAGTGTTTCGTCATGCATTCATCTTGGCCACTTTTCATTTGCATGAGTTACTAAATAATGCAATTAAATGTTTATTTTCATGAAAATCCTTTCTTTGTTTATCTACAGGTGGAAGATGATAAAGTAAACATCCATCCTCGCTTAACTTTGTCATCATCAAATACCCTAATCGTACACGAGGCAACTATTTTGTTTCTCATATCGGGACTTGAGAAGAAGCCGGTGGCCGCTTTGCCCCAGGGTATGGGGCAAAGTGGCCAATATGCATAGGTTTAAAGTTTTGTCAATATCTTTCATATGTGAACACCTTTGGAAATAAAACGCAGTTGAAATAAAAGGCAACTTAATAGGGATCACATTGGTATAGAAAGAATCTTTCCAAGTTTAAAAATCAAGCGTTGGCATCGTGAGAAGCGTTAGGGTGGCCGCTTTGCCCCACTCTCCCCTACATATCGTGGGGCGGCTGCGACAAGATGGGTGGGCGTTCTAAGAGGTCTACGTGGAAACGTTTTGTAGCCTCGGCATTGGCCGCGTATTTAACAAAGCGCGCGGGAGCACTGCTCCTTCGCACAGCGTCCCGTGCTAATTGTGGTAATGGAGGGTGTCTGCACTGCAGCGCTTCCTGTGCTGGGTTGCGGAGCGTTCTGTAGCCCCGGTGTGGCGCCGTCTGTGTTACAGAGTGATGATGACGCGGACCTGTGGCCGGCCGTGGCCACACGAAGGCCGCTGCTCGGCGGTACCCCGTACCCGCCCGTCCCCGTAAGACAGGCTCGTCCGTCTGTGTGTTTTTCACCAGCCGCGCGTCTGCACGCATCTGCTACCGCACTGTAAAATTGAGAGCACTTCACCGAACTAACCCTATTGATTGCGTCACTGGGCACCAAATCAGTATTGCTTGGTCACGGTTCACGCTATTGCACATGTGATATTGCATTATTTTGATAAAATAATTTTGCACACCACAAACACTCCTTTGTTGCAATCTTTTGCGCAGTTTTCATTACGGTGCCTTGTATTGACCAGATATGATTTCAAAGTGCGCTTATTTTTAACGATTCTTTGGACCAACGCTGCACTATCAGAGTGAAGGCGGTTGTGTGCCTGTTTTTCCCCGATGCCCCACCATGCGGATTCCTTTGTGCTGTCCGCGATGCCGAGAATCTCCATCATCGGAACCATCTCCCTCTAAGATATAGGTTTTGACCGGAGTTTTCCTATTTATGCTTGAGATACACATTGCACATGACTTGTACCGATCTGCAGCAACCACAACACCGACAGTCCCGGATCTCACAAACCTCACCGATTGTCCTGGGTCTCACAAACCATAGACCTCACCGATAGTCCCTGGTCTCACCAACCATCCAACTCACTGACAGTCTAGTCTCACCGACAGTCCGGAGTCTCACCAACCATCGAGCTCACCGCCAGTCCGCGGGGCCTCACTGACAGTCCCGGGTCTCAGCGACAGTCCCGGGTCTCAGTGACAGTCTGGAGTCTCACCGACAGTCCCGGGTCTCAGCGACAGTATGGAATCTTACAGATAACCACTGTCTCGGGGGCTGCATGATGCCGAATTCAATCTGGGTTCACCCGACCTTGTACAGAAATTGTAGTTGTGTTAGTCGGATCGGATGTCATCGGATGCCAGTCACGGATTATTGTCAGACAGCTAAGTTCCTCATTTTTCACATATTTGTTTCTTTGTGAATCGCACGACATTTGCATAAAGGATCATTGCATTGTTTTCCTTACTTGCCGTTCTTTTCATTATTGTTCAGTTTTAATGACCTGGCGAGCTGCAGCATGTTTGCTGAAACGTCTGGCGATTTACATTCTCTTGTTTGTCGTCTGGAAATTAACTACCCAGCTCGCTATGTTCCGGGTCGGGCTGAGGTTGGCTGACGGCTCGTCGGCAGCTCAGGGCACAGGGCGGGCTGGGTGGTCCATTACCCCTCGCCGATCATAGCGTCTCAATTTTCACCCGCAACTTCCGCGATCAGTCTGATTGCCTCTGGCTATCAGCGGTGACTCGCATTGACCCGGAGGTGGAGTTGGGGGCTAAAGAAAGGGAGGGAAGAGTGGCACGCCGTTTGAGATGTTCAGACTTGACCCGGCGGCAGGGCGCAAACTGTCCCATGGGGAACCGAGATATCCTGAGCTGTGCAATTGCGGTTGACTTAGTATAGGGACTCTGAGTGATCTGTGTTCCCGTGAGATGTCGGTATGTATTTGAAGGTATAACCGCGTGGCACGTTTGACCCTGAATGCATAGGCGGCGGAACGGGGGTGGCACCGGGGCACCATGCCCCCCCCCCTTTGATTTTGGCATTTTACCATACCATTAGCCCTATGAGCGTTGCATGGAAAGAATGGAACCAAAAGTCGGCAGTGCCCCCCTTAACCCGCGCCCTGCTGGGGGGATGTTTGAACACCCCCCTTGTGGTTTTTCGCGAATATCTCAAAAACGGCGGCGCGGAGCGCCGCCGTTTTTGGTACACCTTATCATACATCAATTCTACACATGTTGTGAAAATTTCAGACCAAGGTCATTCAAGGTCAGGTCACCAGGTCACTTGAAGTGACCTCACCTCATAAAAAGTTTCAATGTCTGTCATAGCTACACCGAGTGACCGATCGCTTTGAAACTTTCAGCGATTGCTAAGAGCAATAGCATGTACAAAATGTATATCTCAGAATTTTGATATCGAGGACCTAAGGTCAGGTCAATTTTGCGACCTCCCCATTATAAGTCAATGGGAGAAAATTGAAATGCGCCTCTTTTGGACGAAAGACATTATAAACACTCCCAAACACCGAATTACAAGTGGTTTAGACACACTGAACATGAAAATGGTGTCCGTGACCCTTGTTTATGCCCTGAGGTCATCTTAGGTCACGAATGGTATCTAACAGTTTTTCGCAAATAACTTTTGATAGAGGCATGCTAAAGCGATGAAAACGCCTAAGATGTGTTCAGCTAGACGATACCGATCGACTGATATGCAACATGACCCTTTCCGGTCAGGTCATGACCTTGACCTGAGGTCAAATTTTCAAGTTGACCTTTCAAGGTCAAGTTATAGTTCATTCGATGCGTCTTGGCGAGAGGAACACGATGCTGGTAAAAGTAAGCTCGTACAAGGCTTGGGTCAAAAGTAATTGCAGAAAAACTGTTTGCGAAAAAATCGGCTATTTTTGCAGTTTTTGCCCCCTGCAGGCAAAACCGTTGACGGTAGGTCAAATCTGAGTGAATTACTCAGAAAGGGCGTTAATAGGGCTATCGAATGCGCTTTTCCGCGGCGCTGTAGCTCTATTGGTTCCCGAGTTATACGTTGGCTTCTTGGAAATTTTCGACATTCGACCTGGAAATCGGCGAAATTTTGCCTTCAATGACCTCTGGTGACCTGACCTTTGACCTGACCAAAAAATTGACCGAGGTGATTTCGTCATTATTTTTGACGCTCTTTCAAACACCGCCTTCCGCGTATCGCTACGTGGCCCAGGAGCCGAGTTACAAGGGGGGTGTTCAAACACCCCCCCCCCCCAGCAGGGCGTGGAAATCCAGGACCCCCAGCTGGGCGCGGGTTAATTGAAGGTGTTCCGCCGTCACAGCCTGAATGCACAATGTGTGTGACCCCTGCTACTCTGTGCGACATGCGTAAACCCTGTGTCTGACCCTGTGCGTCCCGGTTTCAGTCGGATGAGGCGGTCCAGTACGCACAGCTGTCCCTGCCGCGGGGCAGGTCATCACGGACCGGCGGACCATCACCAGTCACCTACGCCCAGCTGGAGCACCAGCACCACCACAATCACCTGCCACCGGTGCCTCCGGTGCCACCGCCGGCCGGCTGGGCGCAGGGTGGCAGACAGTGGGCCGACGCCTCGCCGCCTGGCCACGAGAGCTCGGTATAGCACCCCGGCCCGGCCCTCCATACCCATCTACCTTGTTGGCTAGATAGTGAGTAGATCAGGCGGCACGATATTGCGTGTGCGTTTGTGATGGATGTGTATGTGTGTGCTTGTCCGTAAGTATGGTCGCATGGTTTGTATGGTTATGGTCGCACGCATGTGTTTGTGCGTGTGCGATGGAGCCTCAGTGCGGTGCGTATGTATGTATACCGGTGCGTGCGCGTGTGCATGCGTCCTTGCTTGCTTATGTTGGAATGAATGTTCCGACGTGTATCGCGCACTCGGTAAGTACATGCATTAGCGTCGTATATATATAGTTTCCTCGACAGCATGCTAAAGCCTGATTGATGCGTGTTGAGCAGCGTAATACATGAATAAGCCAGACAACAAAATTTGATGATTGTATGCACTGCTAGACATCCTGTTTCGTTGCGTGGCATTGGGCATATACCTGTAGCATTTATTACTTGAACCACACTAGTGCCCTTTGCCATAAATTTGAAATACTTATAATAAGATGCACCAATAACTTGAGAGGTTAAGCCACTTTTCTTCGCTTCGGCGCCAGTCAATCGAGGCGCTGACCTGTGGATGATCTGCATGCATGTCTTTGATGTTCAGCTCACCGGGAAGGTATTAATGGAGATGACTCAACCTACTGGAGGTGGTCCATTTGAAGCGTGCCGGATATCCTTTACCTTTACAGCTCACCTTCCGGCAACTTAAAATGAAAATGAAATAGATATACATAGTCGCTAAGCTGTAACCATTAAATGGTTTGTTCCTAACCGGTAACAGGTTGAATACATACTATACAAAATATATAAATTTATTTACGATGATGGATGACATGAAGTTGTTGCTTTGAATACATGCATTTATACACAGTACTACTGTTATCTGTAATTCATATAATCACTTCCACACATTTGTTGTCTGTTAGAACCAGAACTTCAGAGCGGCCATTTGAGGGAACATTCCCATTTGATCGGAACCTGACGCGTCTGTGCACTGTTGTCTGTGCGCTGCCGCAGGGCTCTCCGAGGTCGGGCGACGGTCGGCCGTCAGGCTCCTCGTCCACCAGTGCAGAGACCGTGGTGCCCGCCACGTGATGACCCGCCACGTGACAGTGGTGCCCGCCACGTGATCTGGCCACGAGACGGTCTACACGGCGCCGACAGAGACACGGGGCGAGCTGCGCGGGACAGCTCGTGGGCAGCACGGGGCCAGCTCGTCCCAGTGACCCGCGCAGCGACACCAGTGAAATGCTGACCTGCCGTCGTGTAACAATACAATGTCTGTGGTTACAGTAACAGTGCAATGTCTGTGGCACAGTGAAGCAGTGCAGGGTCTATTCTGAATAGTATGACTGTCCTGACTAGCCAGACTAGTCAACTGTGATGGAATGTCGGTGAAGTTGTATATCCTGACTCTCGCTGACCTCTGCTGGACCCAGCTGTGGCCATGGTAGAGTGGACCCGACCTGCGTCGGCCTCGGCAGCCGTCGAACCCTACCGTCGCTGCTCACCAGACGACCTACGGGCGAGACCCGCGGCTCGTCGCTCCGTCGGACCCCGCTGCCATCTTGTCCACAAACGACCGTGTTCAGCCAATCGCAGACGATAGCGCGAGCAACCCAGACGTGAACCAATCAAACAGACGCCGACCTGCGGCTGCCGACGCGCCCATCATGACCGGCCGCCGACCGGGCCGGGCCGGGCGAGATGCCGCTGTTCGATGTGAGCGGCGGAACGCTAGTGCTCGGCGGGACCCAAAGGAGGCGGCGTCCCCGGCGCCCCTGATTCGACTGTCGGAGAGCGGTTGAACAAATAGTGCGCTGGGGACCACGCCGACGATCGGTTTGAGTGGTTTGGTAAACGTGAGCAGCAAACTGCTCAACTGTGAGACTGTTTGGTGGCTGCGGCGGTCTCAGTTAGCAAACAATTGTGGCCACGTGTGTGCAACTCTTGGGCTCTTGGCCGAGTGCTGAGCGAGTGTGTGTGTGAGAGAGAGCAATATGCCTATTCCGTCCATCAAACCCAACAGCGTGTGTGGGTGGGTAAATGCGATAGTACCGTTACTGAGTTACCGCATCGAAAAAGTTAGTGTTTACCAAAGAGACACCCGTTTTCATTTTTTTTTTTACAGCGCTTGGGAGATATCATCGTGCTGCCAAAACGACCTTACTTTCGTAGCTCATGTTGTTCACGCACAAGTTACGGCTTTTACTTGTTTCACTTGAGTGAGTGACTGCCTGGATTTTGGACACACCTTCCACCCTCCGCGGTTCTCTGGTACCGGTGTGCTTTGCTGTCGGTGGCCCGTCTGCCCGTATCCCTCCCTCACCCGGGCCTGCCCACTCTCCGGGGGGCGCCATTGGGACCGTGCTCGATCGCCGCGAGATGGGTGCTTTTTATGGTGCTCCTCTGCTCAGTCCGCGAGTGTTATTCGATCTGCCAGACCAGTGTGCTCTGTCGTGTACTGTCGGTAACTACATGTGCGGCAAGAAGCGCCGGCAGCACGCATTTACGGGCGATTACCGTCAATGCTCTGGGATTCAGGTGACGTCTCCGTATGTCTGCGCTGAGCGAAAATGGCACGCGGTGAGTGCGGGGACCCTGAGCGCTCTATTTTACGGTGCCTGTGCGTGTGTGTGTGTGTGTGCCCGTGTGTGCATCCTTGTCTGTGAGTGTACATAGCAGTTGTATACGACTCGCCGACCAGTTGTTTTGTAAACAGCTCGCTGTCGGCACCAGTTACCGATTCGTGTAATACACAGAGTTGGGTGTCTCCGCCCGCTCTCCTTTGACCGCTCCTGGGTGGAACACGGGACGACTGACAGGGTCCACGGCAGAGCGCGGCACGGCTCGACCCGACGGCAGAGCACCTTCGGCCCCAGGTAGTATATGGTGTAACACGGGCGACGCAGTGGCCGCAGCTGAGGACTGATGGTAGCTGAGGACGAGGACTGCTGGCGAGTGACGGCCTGAGAACTGCTGGCAGCTGAGGAGTGTGGCGGCGGAGGACTGAGGGCTGCTGGCAGCTGAGAGGTTGAAGAATGAGGACTGTAGCTACTGAGGGGTTGATGGCTGTTGAGTGAGGGAACTGCTGGCAGCTGAGGAAGTGTGGCGGAGGAGGACTGCTGGCAGCTGAGGAGTGTGGCGGCGGACGACTGCTGGTAGCTGCCGACTGAGGGGCTCAAGACTGATGGTATAGGCTGATGGCTGTAAGCTGTAGGAAGCAGTTACTTTTAAAACACGCGTAGTTAAATGGAAAACACCAAAAGTTCATTGATGAAACTGATGGCTGAGGGGCATCATAGGAAAAAATCAGACAGAATCCTTGCTTTCCTCGTGCATATTTTTTCAATAGGCAGGCGATTAACACTTCACGACACCTTAGTAATGGTTCAGCACTGTCCGTGTGCAACTGCGCATTGCACCGATCACGCAGCAGCTGGCAACACGGTGGGAAAGGGGGGGGCAGAAGGCTGCCAAAGCAACAGCGGCTCTGTTCTCCCTATGCGTAATCACTTATCAGCCGGGGTGGTAGGCAAGTACCGCAGATTCTATTCCTCCCTCACGACATACGGTCGTCAAGTTAGATGTGTGAATCCTAATCTATAATCTAAGATTCGGAGTCAGGCAAGCCCCTCCGATTTGGACCAAACTTGGTTAGTGGATAGCACGTAACGTCCTGATTACGATGCACCCAAAATGTAAGCTCGGCCCGCCATATTTACGAAGTTACGGATGTTTGAATGCCAAGGTCATTCGGGCGAGCCCCTACGATTTCCGTCAAAATTGGTGTACGGACACTCTAGATGCTCCTCATTACGAATATCACAAAATCTAAGCTCAGCCCGCCATATTAAGGAAGTTACGGAGGTTTGAATTTCAAAGTCATTTTGGGCGAGCCCCCTGCGATTTCCGTCCAAATTGGTATGCGGACATATTACATCCTCCTTATTACAAATATCATAAAAGTTTAGCTCGGCCCGCCATATTTTTAAAGTTACGGAGTCACAAAGTTACGAAATTTCAAGGTCATTGGGCGAGCCCCTCCGATTTTCGTCAAAATTTGTATGCGGACACATTACATGCTCCTCCTTACGAATATCGTAAAAGCTAAGTTCGGCCCGCACTATTTCAAAATTTACTGAGGTTTGAAACCCACTGAAATTCAAACATCTGTAACTTTTGAAATAGTGCGGGCCGAGCTTAGCTTTTACGATATTCGTAATGAGGAGCATGTAATGTATCCATATACAAATTTTGACGAAAATCGGAGGGGCTCGCCTAATGACCATGAAATTCCGTAACTTTGTGACTTCGTAACTTGAAAAAGGTGGCGGGCCGAGCTTAACTTTTGTGGTATTTGTAATGAGGATGTAATATGTCCGTATAACAATTTTGACGGAAATCGCAGGGGCTCGCCCAAATGACCTTGAAATTCAAACCTCCGTTACTTCGTAAATATGGCGGGCCGAGCTTAACCCGCGCCCCGCTGGGGGGGGGCAGAATCTGCCCCCTCCCGTTTTTCGCCAATAACTTCTAAACGCGTTACGCCAGCGACGTCAAACTTTCAGTACCTTATCATACATCAATTTGACACGTTCCCTGAAAATTTAAGCGAAATCCGTCGGAAAATTTTTGAGAAATTAACGTTTTAGTGACGTCATGTTCGCCATTTTCGCCTCAAAAACGGCAAAATTTCAAACGCCGCTAACATCTTCATTTTTAAAGGAATCAAGACGTAACAAAAAACTTTATACGTGATTCTACTTTGTCTATCAAATGGCTATCTCGGTTTTTTGAAAATTTTGGATTTTGGCCAAAATTTTTCAAAAAAACTGACTTTTTTGGAAAAATATTTATAAAATCCAAAATTTTGAGTTTATCGAAAAAACCGGAATGTATGTCAAAGAAGTGGTCTATGTGCACCTACATACCAATTTTTAGAAGAATCGGTTCAAAAATGTGGGAGTTATTCAAAATTTGATGACGTCACGACACACAAAATTTTTGAAAAAAAATGATTTTTTGGAAGTTCTAGACCTCGTACGGAAACAAAAATAGCACCATTCGATTTGCCGTGAAAAACTGCATCGGATAGACACCTTTTTAGGCCTTAACAACCAACTTCAAAATTTGACCTCACTTGACCTGACCTTGACCTGACCTCGACCTGAAATTCATCCAGAGGTGGTCCATATCACTTATTGAGTGTGCCTATTGAATTCCATGAGTAAAATGACCCATAAAACATGTGTCGCACATGCCCTTTTCTATATTTTGTTTTTGGTGACCTGACCTGACCTGACCTGACCTTGACCTTGACCTTTGAATGACATTGTGTGCAACGAATATTGTCTTGGTACTCTAAGAACACGTTTTGGGCAATCAGTCTCAGTCCATTCTTCGGCAACTACGGTGCAAGGCCGATACTGTAGAAACTTGCATTTTGTACCCTTGACCTGACCTTGACCTGACCTCTGACCTACTTAAGCAAAAAAATTTGGGCTCTTAAGATCCGCCTTGTTGAGAGCTTTCGATTGCCGTTTTCCCCGTCTTTCTACGACCATCGGTTCGGAAGTTAGACAGGGGGGGGCAGAATCTGCCCCCCCCCCCCCCAACAGGGCGCGTATGGCTGAATAGCCCAGCGGGGCGCGGGTTAAACTATGTGATATTTGTAATGAGGAGCATCTAGAGTGTCCGTACACCAATGTTGACGGAAATCGCAGGGGCTGGCCCGAATGACCTTGAAATTCAAACATCCGTAACTTCGTAAATATAGCGGGCCGAGCCTAGATTTTGGGTGCATCGTAATCAGGACGTTACGTCCTATCCACTGACCAAGTTTGGTCCAAATCGGAGGGGCTCGCCTGACTCCGAATTTTAGATTATAGATTAGGATTCACTCACACCTAACTTGACGACCGTTCAATAGCCTTGCTCACAACACTCACACACAAAGATAGAGAGGGGAAACAATGGCGTCGCGTCTGGGCAAACACGTCGGCTTTGTTCGGCTAAAACAGGACGCCGTCACCGACTGACTGCGGAGACGCACAGAATGTGCCTTCAGCGGCGCACATAAAGGCCATTGTCGAACAGTAAGAGAACTGTGACGCACGGCAGGCAGGCGACGCAAATATTAGTGCTTTTTACTGCTTCTCTTGAGGTGGCTCTTAGTGAAGTCCTTTCAATAGACTTAAAGGTAATGTTAACGTAAGAACTTTTCCATACCAGGGATGGAACTGAAGTTTGGGAGTTTCTAGCGAAAATGTCGTGGCAAAAAGTCAAGTAACTATTAGACGTTTAAAAAAAATGACAAGGAGTGTATTGGCGTATGCAGAAAAAAAATATCAAGCTAAATACCTACAATTTCGCGGTTAATTTAAAATATATTGGAGGAATACAGGAGAGGGTATAGCGCATGCAATATTAGACAGGTCCGTGAAGTTGGCGACGTCTCCAGCGAGTTTTCCAGCGACGAAAACCGATTTTAGCCAAACCGCGTAGAAGGTCAATTGGACCACAAGAATCATGAAAATAGAACTCATTCTCCCCTAAACATTGGCCTTCAATGTCAAATTCAGGGCAAAGGGACGGGGAACTGAAAAAGTGCCACTAAATAATGTCCGATTTTCAAAATTTTGGCACCAACATGTAGCGCTTGCGAAGTTCTAGCCGCACAATGAAAACCAATTTAATCAAGGTCAAACTCCAAGGTCATAATCAAAGCCAAAAGACAGGGAAATGAAGAAGTGACACTAAATATCGTTCGATTTATAAAATTTTGGCACCAAAATGTAGGTTGCGCGTGCAAAGTTCCAGACGCACATTTCAAAACATTTTCATCAAGGTCAAACTTCGAGGTCAAATTCAAGGTCAATGAGTACGGGGAACTTGAAAAGTGCCATTAAATATTGCCCGATTTTCAAAATTTTGGCACCAATATGCACCGCGTGCAAAGTTTTAGCCGCACATCGAGAACCATTTTAATCAATGTCAAACTTCAAGGTCAAATTTAACCCGCGCCCCACTGGGGGGGGGGGGCTATTTATAGCCCCCTCCCGTTTTTCTGCAATAACTTCCA